AGTCTACATGGTGTGGAAATAAGTGTACGGGTCCTCACAACTGGTTTCTGGCCGACGCAATCGTCCACTCCAAAATGTAGTATGCCCACCGCACCACGTGATGCCTTCGATGCCTTCCGGCGTTTCTATCTGGCTAAACATAGCGGTCGACAATTAACGTTACAACCACAGTTAGGTAAGTAAATAAATATTTTTGTCGTATAAATATTTTTGTCATCTTTATATATTAATTTATTCAAACATACATGTTATATCAACATGCGTATATAATAAAACATACTTGCGTAGGTTCCGCAGATTTGAATGCCATATTCTATGGACCACGTAGAGAAGAGAGTAGTTGTGGCGGTTTGGATACTCCATCGTCTTCGAGTTCTCTCGGAAATGGTAGTAACGCGAGTGGCAGCTTGCTGAGCCAGAGAAGCAGCACATGTAGTCCGCGAAAACACATAATACAAGTTTCCACTTTCCAAATGTGCGTGTTAATGCTCTTTAACAAGAGGGAGAGGCTAACATATGAGGTCAGTCTTGATACAAGTTTTCATAAATGACTAATCACACATGTATATTGTGTGTGTGTGTGTGTATGTAGAAAACTTCAAAATATATTGTTATTACATATATATATATATATGTATGAATATTTTGTAGGAAATTCAAGGTGAAACCGATATTCCAGAGAGGGACTTGGTCAGAGCATTGCAGTCTCTCGCCATGGGTAAAGCTACGCAAAGAATCTTACTCAAACACCCTCGTACCAAGGAGATCGAATCTTCGCATTATTTCTGTGTAAATGACAGTTTTAGCAGTAAATTACACAGGTATTACATTCACACATGTACAGTGCACAAGTAATGGGAGAAATTCACGCTAAAATATTTGTATTGGTCTTTCCAGAGTAAAGATTCAGACCGTAGCAGCGAAAGGAGAATCTGAGCCTGAAAGAAGAGAAACGCGCAATAAAGTTGATGAAGATCGAAAACATGAAATAGAAGCAGCCATCGTGCGGATTATGAAAGCTCGAAAGCGTATGCCTGTACGTAACATGCAAGCTTCCTATCTTTGTTCTCACTGAAAATTTCATTTATAAAGATTGTATTTTTTTCTTGTAAACATGGAAAGATATGCTTTAACAAAATAAACTGTAATACAGGCTGTATGTAATCACTGATTAATATAAATTATGTTCTCTTTACAGCATAATATACTTGTAACAGAAGTAACAGAGCAATTAAGAGGCCGATTTTTGCCTTCACCTGTAATAATTAAGAAACGTATCGAAGGTTTAATTGAACGAGAGTATTTGGCTCGCACACCAGAAGATCGGTATGTAAAATATAAATTGTTTTATACGAATCGTCACTAATATCTATGAGATCTGCTGACCGATAATTTACTTTGATTTACAGAAAGGTGTATACGTACGTTGCTTAATGCTGAATTCAAATATTGGATGTGTACAAACATGTAAGTAATTTGTAATAATATATACATCCTCTGATATTGCATATTAATGATCCTTCATATTTTATTCACCGATTCGCGTCATTATTATTATACCATTTATTATTTCTGACATCGCGCGTCATTGTTATCTTCATTATTATTTCATTTCCTGTTTGAGAATGAAATCATGTGCAAGGGATGTTCCATACCAACGAGGAAACGATATTTTTGGAAATTGTTTCGATATATAATAACCATTGATATTTGCAGCTCAAACTCAGTAAATTATAATGTTGTTTGCAGGAATAAACGATTGGAAAAATAATTGAAAATGATAGAGCGTCAACGGTATCACGAATATAGTTTAATCTTTATTTTGCTGTAACTATCACACAACATACACAAGTATATCCAAATAAACAAAGATCAAAAACGAAACAGAATAGAGCGTGTATCACTTCGTTGCCGGGTGCTGAAAACTGCAAGAGAGGTGCTTGGTTGAAACGTACGCATTATTATTTGCATAGTTGCGTGTAAATTTTGTCATCTGAAATCCAAATTCACTTTATTGTATTTTATATTATATTTATAAACTAAATCATAACGTACCTAATACGAGTAAGACGTATGCTGTACTTGTTGTGACGGAACATCCCTGTAATTGGAATAAATGGCAAGATATTCTTCTGATAATTGACTAGTTCGGTGGAAAAGGTCGGTATGTGTCACAGGATGATACGCACTTAGATTTAAATTTGGGGATGCGCATATTTTTCTCCTTTCTGGATATTGGATCCACGCTCCCCGCACTTTTCACATTTCGAACATTCGCATTTGTTACAATAGGAAATTCATGTGAGCACTCGATATAATAAATATATATTCTAAATTAGATAGACCTTAGTTAACGTGCGTTTCTAACGATGCAAAATATCGTTAAGTTACTGAAGAACTCGATGATCCGCATTGATAATACCGCAATTAGGAACTTTTCTACACTTATAAGACTGTGATTGTCTACGGTAACATAAATACTATTCGGATATGTCGTGAAATTAGGAAAGAAATGGTATTTACCTATAGTTTTATTTACGTTGATGTCTACCGATTATATATGTAAATAAGCGATGTGAATGTATTGCTAAGAATATACTTGTCTCATTTCCAACAAATTAAGATTATTTTCAATGACTGCACTTTTCTCTCTCTCTCTCTCTCTCTCTCTCTCTCTCTCTCTCTCCATATATATATATATATTATTTATATTTAAGAAAATATATACATATATTTCCTTAAATTTGTTTATTTCTCCCAATAAAATATAAAACACGCATTAAATTTTATCTAACAACTCTGTATATTGTATTTATTTCAAATCTGTTTCAAATTTATAATAATTAAAAATATACAGACTCTCTTTTTCATTTGTTGATGAACACTTAATAGCTTCCACCTCTTTCACCTAGCTTCTCAATTTTTTTTCTCATATGGCTTAATCGCTCATTGACTTGGTAAAATACGAAATATTTATTATAGTATGCCAAAAATGGGATCTAAGGATCTGTAAGAGATGCAGAATTTGTTAACGGGATAAAATATGCATATGAACCTAAATAAAGAATGGAGAACTCTTAATAAAATGCTGAAGTCCAATTTGAACACGTATTATACAGACTCACGTTGTGTAGAGCAAGAAAGGCGAAATGAACGACATCGTATTTTTATTTTCATTTATATTTTCCTTATTTATTAATATAGAAGTTTTAATATTTAAACGAAGGTTTTATCCTTTCTTACACGAAACTGAATAAAAATAAAATCCTATAACAGCATCTTATTATTCCCGAAACATTCACCTAATATATTTATTCTCTATACAATGTCTAATATGCCAAGCAGATAGAAAATATACGCTTTACCCATGCTCGTGACAGTTTTTATATAATATATAGAGACAATCTACACACATATATATATATATGTATATATATATATTTATATATACAGCTAAACGATTTTTCTATATATAGTATAAGTATATTATGCAATCATTCATAATTCTAAGAATAAATGCTGAAATTATTCCTGAAAGTTTATAGTAATAGGAATACAAGCCTATTGGCTGAGGTAAGGATACAATTCTCATATGCACAATATTTATATAATTATTTCACACATTAATATATGAGCGAATGTATTTAATTAATATTTCTACCGCTTTTAAGATACATTATATAATTATGTTATTCTGTGATTATGTTATTTTGTTAAATCTTATTGTCTTAAGGAATTCGTAATGGAGATATAATATTGGATAGAAATTATTTGTTATGAAAATAATTTATATAGTTTTGTGTCACATTTGTGATAATGTGAAAGTGATTCTCAAGTATAGATAAATTTTCCAGATATTACATAAATTACTAAACACATTACATGAATTACTAAACACATCTTCATTATGTTTGATATTAATGAATTTCTCTTTTTTTGCAATGTGCTCTTTCTTTTATGTTGACGTGTCGTGCATAATCATCTTTTCTTATGTGGTAGAAAAATCTAAGAGAAATTACAGCTTTGTTAGTACTTTCATACATTCTCCAAAATGTCACTATAAATTGTTGAAAACAGTGCACTTCCGAGATTAAAATGTAAGAAATATATACTTCTGCTATATATAATCACAAAATTTTTAAAAGCTATCGTAGCACAAACATTAGATGGATAAAGTGAAGTAATTTATACGACGTTTATATGAATGTCCAACTATTTCCGAAGTCTTTTTAATCCTGTATAAGTACAGGTATAAAACAAACACACGTGTAAAGAAAACATTTTACATTTCCACAACTCACGCTTTTTTCTATGTTATCAAGCTATGTTTGACAATACATACAGATAACTTATCTGTTCATACAGATATTATTAAAATAAAAAAAAAGATTAATATGGTTTTCGCAGAACGTTAATCTTTCGAACCATTGTAAAAACTGGAAGCTGTAGCATTTAGACAGAAAAATAAAATGACTAGAGATCCCGTTTCGATGCTTCCGATTACATTTAGATTTATTTCGTAGTGTTTTCATTGATGTTTCGAATGACAATATTCAAAAGAAAATTCGAAAATATTTTCAACATGAAATTCATGTTAGACTTGCTTATGTAAATAACGAAATGCATATTTCTTATTTTTGGTAATTGCCGCAAGCGCCAAAATATGATTTATACTTAAACTTAGTATACCAGACAAATTTCACATTAAAGTAACTTAAGATAATTCTGTACAGGGTATCGAGTATATGCAAAATTTTGTGAAAGATATCTAATATGCGATCCAAAGTCAAAAATAAAAAGACATAGACATTCATTAGTATTTTCAAGTTAAAAAAATTAATTGCTCAAGAAACAATTGAATTATATTCAAATACATATTATGTAATTTTGTATATTACTATAAGTAAAAAGAGATTGGAATAATAATCTTATGTCACGATTGGAAGTTTAATCATATTATTATTATTCCAAAAAATCGATTGGAAATCGAGAGCAAAACATCATTGTTCATCATTTATTAGTCATAATCTTAAGATTATTAACAGTTATAAAGCGGTGACTATATAAATTCGAAATGCGACAATAAATTAACACCTTAAACGACATTGGAAATTATGTTCCTTTAATACATACTGCTACATCTGATAAACGTAACGGCTCTATGTTGAACCATTTTTCATCATCGTGTACATTCCTACATAATCAAGCTGGAATGTAACGAACCTTCGATACGTTAAACCAAAGTATAACTGCATAGCATGACTTCAAGTATAAATTGTATACAATATGATACAGTTATTTATCATAATTTACTGTACTCTGGAAAGTCCGTTCCATCTTATTATAAACATTACAATTTGCGTATATTTTCATATTCATATTCATCGGTGTTAACCAATACTGTACAGAGTCATCTTAACTTGAATCTATGAGATTCAATTGAATCTATGAGATTCACAGGGATTAACAGACAGGTATACATTGGCTTGAGTTTGAATCAGTTGACGGGCGGCAGGCATCGTGGTGAGTAAAGCTAATCACTCGGGGTTATTCGTTAGACGACGATGATTCCCGCCTCTTCTCGGCATGCTTTTTCGTAAATTCCTCAGCATTCTTCAAAAACTTTTTTCTATCTTTGAGGAATTCCTCAGCTAAATCTGCTCTCAGCGGATGCTCAGGCTCAGGATCATTCACTAATGCTATCAAAGCTTGGATCACTGTAAATACAAATGAGACATTCATGTTAAAAATATTCTACTGTTTTCTATTCTTAGAAAAAGAAAAAGGAATGATGTCTATCTCATCCTTGTTTTCTATTAGAGACAGATGTTTTATTGCATGTATGATTCATTTGTGTGAGTTACAAGTGACAATTATTAGTGGTCAAGCAATTAAAATGCAGAAAATCTGACCTTGGTCTGTTTTCGTCGCAGGTTTCCAATTTTCAGCACTTATAATTGGTAAGCATATCTGACCTTTTTCGTCCACATTTGGATGATATATCTTGGTTTTGAAATTTATCCTTGGTGGTTTGAAAGGATATTCTGCAGGAAAGTTGATTTCGATGCGAAATGCACCTTTGTTATATGGTGGGTTGTCCTATAGAAACATCTTATTTTTATACTCAATTATTATCAAGTATATGAATTATATACTATCAAGTTTACACAAAACTACAAGTTATACTTAAAAAATTATGAAAACTATATATTTTCCAAGATATATAGTTTCTACATTTCCTCCAAGATAATCTCCTTGATAAAATAAAAAACAGATTTGATTATATAAAAGAGTACTGATTGAGCAACACAGATTACAGATACAGATTAGATTTCCAAATCTGTAAGCTCATTTTTCAAGATAACGCAACAGGAAGTATGCATATTAGAATGATGTTCATATTTCATTTTTTTTCTTTTACAACTGCTCATATATTTTTCTCTTTTCTTTCAGTTTCGAGCGTAAACGACACACTCATTTTACTTCGAGCGTGAAGAATAAAAAAAAGAAAGAATGCACATCTGACAGAAATAGGTCACAAGATTCACGGACGTGCACTTTGCACTTCCGCGCGCATATTTTAGGTTACGTATGTTCCTTTGCTTCAAGATAGATACCGTAAACGTACCGGCAATATCAGGCCCTGCCAGGTGAGAATATTAGATTCGTCTACTTGAATATTTGTGAAGTTTTTCATCGCCGACGCTCTCAGGTCGCCCAGCTCCTGGAAAAAGTCAGATTGCAATGGTTATAGGTCGCGGGGTAGAGGTGAGTGACGGTCAGGTAGTGCGCTGAATTTCAAGCCGCGAACACACGTCCGTACACCAACACCAGATTATTCGTATGAAATGTGAATTGGGCTTCGGAAATCAAATGATGACGGGATTGTCGGCATCAGTTATGAGTGATGATCGAGGGGTCCGGTGTCAGCGATGAAGAGCGTAATGACTGTATGCGAGAGATTCCTCCCGACCGCCATCCTCGCGGAACACAACCGATCGCGAGGAAGACTCGTCCGTCGAGCGTCGAGCGACGATTTTGCCTTACCGTCGTTGCGTCATCCTCGCAACAGCAAATTCCGAATTACCTTTTGCAATCTTCTCGTAGCAGCCATTTTGAAAATATAATACCACTAAAAGCAGCAAAACCTGTCAAGACAGTGCGCCGGACTGTTCTCTCTCGCGTGGTTGTCGCGAAACTTCCTAGCACTTGTCACGTAACGTGATATAATTCCCTAGCAGTAAATCCTTTTTTGGGGAGGAAAGAAATCTGCAAACTACTTTTGGAAAATAGATTATAAATATGCTTCTATAAAATTATGTCGATTAAAACTGTGAAATATATCTTTGTATATATACAAGATGATATATATTCACGGTTATATTAATAATGTTTTTCTACATGTGAAAGTGTATTTGATTTTATTACAGAAAGTGGTAGGTGAATACTTCATAATTATTGACTACTGTTAGGTTTATAAGAATGATCAATTCTAATGTCAGCTAATTTAGATGTATCCTGTTGATGTATAATTAAAAGCTGTATGAATCTGAAGCCAAAGACATTTCTAATCAAGTATGAAAGGAGAGATGCAGTGGCAGAAAAACTTGTATGAAAATTATGGCTTACCGGATAATTACACAGATAGTTCCTTTCTGGAAGAACTACGCAAAAATATCAAACCAAATAATGTCACATTGATAGAAGCAATAAGCTTGGGTGCCAGTATATCCATACAGTTGAGCATCGTGGTACTTTTTGTTGTAATATTTATTTGGTTGCATAATGAATGGACCACACCAGATGTCATTGTTATATCAGGAAGCGCCCTGACAATTCTTGGGTATTTTATTTATAAGATAAGAGTGCCCAATCAAAAAAAATCAGTGAAACTTACAAAGGATTTATGGACAGTATTGATATTTCTTACATTTGGTTATGTATTATCACCTATTTTAAAAACTTTAACTGAGACAATCAGTACTGATACAATTTATGCTATGACAATATTCATGTTTTTGACTCATTTAATATTTAGCAAATATGGATCGTCGCAAATATCTCTGTCAGACTCGTTGTCCATAACATCCTCAATTTTTGGTTCATTGATGTTAGCTTCGAGATTAGCATCACCATTGCATGCCTTTTCACTTCTAACAGTTTCAGTTCAATGTTTTGTATTGTTACCATATTTATTGTCGCAAATGAATAACAAAATTGTTATATCAGCTATTCTGGCAATCAGTACTATATATTTACTTTTATCTGTGTCACAAACATTTTCATACATCTTTATTATTGCTGTAACATTCATTCACTTTACATGCCCATTTTGGTATATCAAATGCCAAAAATACAAGGATAATATTTATGGTCCTTGGGATGAGGCAGTAATTGCTTCATAGAATTCAATATGATTAAATTTCTTCGTAATTACAGAAAAAATATATATAGATACTTAATTCATAAATCGTAAAACTTGTCTTGAAATATTATATCCTGTTTATTGTATGTTTCTCCACTAATCATATTTATATGTATATAATTAATATATTATAACATTTTTTTATTTATATTCATCTAAAGAGGAACATATAAGAGAGGTATATTTGTACAAATTCTATCAAATAACCTGTCAACATTTTTTGCATAATAAAAAAAATGTTGAATAAAATGTGAGAATGATAAGGAATAATTATGACTGATATTTTAATTAACTCACGGAAAGTTGTCTATATATATAAATTTTGCATAAAACACCAACAATATCATTGATTCCTCTTCTGTCTTTTATATCTATTACAGTCAATACTGCTGATGCTTATTACAAAGCAATGATTAATATCTAACGGAATATACAAGAAAATATAAAAAAATATATATATATTTAAATTTGTGACTAAATGTATATCGACACAAATGTGTACGTGGATATTTTTATTATTTTACAATTATAAACTGTAACAGCCTTTTGATTCGTCTTATGAGAGCCTTGATGAAATTACAATCTACCGTTGCATATTCACTGTGCGTATCCAACAACTGCGTAATAAATGTATCCGTAAACGTAGATACGAGTCCCTGTTTAAGTTCCATTAGCGTTTCTGACGTGACTTTCCACTCCGCCATATTTTCATCGATGCCACTCGACGACACTGTACAGATAAATACGTATCATCTTAATATAATTAAAGGTGGTCAACGATAGTTAAAAATAATTAAAGAGAATCGATAACTATACGCGCTACATATTTATATGAATATGTATGTATACATATGCATTTTTCACGAGAAAAGTAGAAGTGTATCTCACGAACCGTGCAACCTCTGAGTCTGCCGTGATATCACTTGCATGGTATAAAAATCCAAATGACTCCACAGGATGTACAGAGTGTGTTCTATGATGAGAGAGCAATATTTGATGCTTAGGCGCTTATCCTTCACCCAACGGTTCAGCCGCTGCTCGACTAGCATTCGTTGCTTTCCTATGTCAAGTTCCACTTCGTCCTCGGACATGTACTGTCGACAAGGTCGTTTAATGTTAATTAAAATCTCCGTAGCATCACGTGCAAACGAATCAATAGGAGGTCGAGAATACAGCAGCAGTCTCGTAGCAGTGCTAACCTTTTTTAATTCCGCTGTGCTCATATCGGCCACCATCTGTACCTTCTTGATCAGGGAATCTATATGTGGTAACTCGGTGTGCAGCAGATTCGTCACGGAAACCAATTGCTCGACTATTGTGCCCAGGTGCATCCCGCCAGAGGCGTCTTTCGTCTTGTCCTGCCTGCCTCCGACTTTCGGCGTCAGATGAGGATCGAACAGCACGTTCCGTATTTTCTGATCCATGCAACTGTGCTGCATCTGAAAGACGAGCATGTCAGGCTTGTAACACGTCATTAAGACTCATGGAACAATCTGCTGAAAATCCTGAGGATGCATCTGCAGACGTTTCCAACGGACCGCCTTGCGTGACGATCAATGTCACTCAATTACGAACTCAGTGCAACGTTACTTGATTACGTGTGTACAACATGACGTTGGCGACGATCTGTATGCAGGAGATGTACTTCCGGTTCACTTCGGCCTGCTGATAGTTGTGATTGATCGGGATTGATTGCAGCTGAAACTTGTGCAATAACGATAGCATCAGCTTCTGCAGCCGGTAAAGATGCGCCCGCAATTCCCTCATCCCAGTGCTATTCTCCAATTTGTAGTCGTCTATGTTCGCCTTTGCCAGTTCCTCATCCACAAGTTTGTACATGTCTGTGGAATAACAGTGTTTATCGCAATAATGACAACTACAATAATACACATGGCAGATATATGAGTAATCCGCAATGTGACTACGCACCTATGTTGGCAGATCTGGATATCACGCCGGTGAGACAGGCAATCTCCTTGAGAAACAGTACATTAGCGTGCGAGGATGCGTTTCTCAAGGCCATCTCCACAGTGTCCCGATGACTCTGCAGAAAACCGCATACTTGCACAGCACACGACTGATTCTCCGTCCCCAGGGTGGTGAAGAGAGCGTCGCAGAGGTACAAAGCTGGCAGGAAGATTTGCTGATAACGTTGGCCGACCGACGGTATGAAGGAGTAATCGCCACCCTCGAAGCCGATGTGCACGTCTGGGTGTTGATCGAACACGCACATGCTGGACATACAGGACAGGATTTTGTTTTCCAACAGGCTCTCCGCGCCCAGTCTCGTTGACGCCATACGGCAGAAGATCGCCATCTTCGCCTCATAGAGGTACAGCGGCCGCAGCGTTTGCGGCTCCGGTTGCAGCATGCACCGCAGTAGATTATCCGACTCTAACAAGCTGTCGATCATATGCTTGAGATAGCCCCTGCTCGCCAAGTAAATCATCCACGCATTCTCGCAGTCCAATTCTAGAATCTTGTCCAGACAGGACAGCGCTAACATCTTGCACACGTCGTGCCCACCCGAGCAATTGTGGCAGAGAATGTCCATCAGCTGATTGCCGAAGCTGTTGATCACCTGTATCGTCGCGTAACGTTGTGAACGTTCCTGCATAGGCATCAGTCGGTTCAGCGTATTGTCCAATTGGCTGACGTACGTCGTCTCGATCACATTCACGTGCTCGGACTTTTCCAGGCCGACGATACTCAGGAAGTTCAGCAGAGCCGCATAGAGATGCGTCACGACCTTCTGCGAAGAGGCACCGGCGTTTATGATCCATTGCAGGATGTGACTCAGAATGATCTTCATCATCGTTGTGTTCGATGGCGATGACGGCACCAGTTCATTGTCCGACTGGATCATGAAGTTGTTCCGCAGATTCACCAGCAACATTAGAACCGTGCCAGACACTAGCGTCTTGATTTCGCTCAGCGCCTCGCAGGACGTCATCTTCTGCAGGAGATCATGCGACAGATTCAGCAGCAAATTCTGCCGCTGCGTCGCCGGCAGTTGCTGATTGGTCGCGACGGAGAAGAGTATCTCCGTCGTCTGGCACCAGCCCTCCACAAACTTAACCGTCGCGTAGGACAAGACCTTCGTTTGATTCTTTTTCAACGCGTGCGCGAGTATAGACTTGACCTCTTGTTGCATAAGCTTGCGTTGAGTGGCAGTCGCGCTGCTCTGCGTGACCGTCAGCTCCTCGGTAATAAGGGAATGCAGTTTCCTGATGTCGATGAGTCGTGGGCCGCCCATCAGTGCGACTGGAGTACTGCAACGACCTAGTACCACCTCGATCTGCGACGGGTCGAAGAATTCCCAAGATTTGGCAGGCTCCAGGTAGAGTTGGAAGTCGATGTAATGCAGGAGATCCATCAGGAGCTTCTGCGATGGTACGATCTGGTCCTTGTCTTGATTTGAATTACCCACCAGCCGCTGGATAAGGGAGGTCTGCAAACTGCCACCGGCGACTCGCAATTCGATCGCCGCTATCTTCAACAACCAGGACATGCAACTGAGCTCGGTCGACCTGTTTGGTCCTTGGAACGGCAGCTTCGAGAGATGTCTCTGCACGAAGTCCTGATTACTCGTGGTACGCAGAAACCTCAGAACAGACGCCGATGTCTTGCTATTGGCCGTTAACGTGTGAAGATAACAGTAGCAGGCTTCGGTGATTTTGTCACGACCGTGATCGAGAGACTGTTCCAAGATACCTAGGATCGAGTGCAGACAAGTGCGTGGGAATCCTAGAATTCCCGGCTGCTGGATGACGGTCTTCCTGATGTCCTTCGTGATCTCGAAGCCGAGCAAGTAGTGTGCCAAGTTGGGTGCCGGACGGGTGATGCTGTGCATCATCAACAGCAGAATTCTCTCTTTGCAATTCCCAGCCTGCTGCCTGGTTTGCTCGCCGCCGATCATTTCGTCTTCATCCTCAGGAACATTGTCCGCATCCAAGCACTCGACGAAGCCATGTCTGATGTTCGTCGCTAAAGTGGAAGTCGCCGTGAACATCGCCAATAATTCAGAATCTGCTCCAGGCTCGTTGGTTACACCGTGAATAACACCGACGGCCACGAACGCCTGTTTCGGCAACCACGAGTTATAAGAGACGTACTTGACGATATTGATCATGTGATCCGGCTTGCCGGTGCGAGGATTCACCCCGAGCAGCAAACGCGACAGTCCGGTCATCAGTTTGTTCACAGGTATGGCGGCTAACTGCGTCATATAATTGTTCTGCATCTTCAGGCCACGCTCGAGCACTTCCAGGCAATATAAACTGCAACTCTCCAAATACTTCTTGCCTGGAAAAGTGTCGTAGGTGTCGAAATGAAGGCAGCCTTCGTCCAAGATGTACAACACCACGTGCAACAACTCGGTAGACCTGTGCAGTTGCGTCATCAGGTGATATCCCGGCGCCGAGTTCACCGAAGTGGACTCACCACCTTGCAGTTCCACCTTGCAGCCTACGAAATCCTCGATGGTCGGCTCGTACTGCTTGATCAACTTGGAAAAGATCTTTAGGCAAGCCTCCGCGACCTCCCACTTTTCCGCGGAATTCTTGTACGAACGGGTGTGGAATCTCAGGAACACGGTGTTGATGACGAAGTGCAAGTACGGGTCGAATCCTGGGTTGCGTTGACCGACGCCCAAGAGACGTGGTATCGGAAAATCGGTCAGTACGTCCAACAACTCCAACATAGCGCGCGTCAATGGGTACTCCTCGTTCCTGGATTCGATCTCCTCCAGTTCCGTTTGCACGCCTCTCGGCTGATAACTGCTCGTTGTCGGTATCGTAGACAAGATCTGGGCGGCCTCTAAGCTTTGCCAAACAGTGGAAGAGCTTTCTGCTGATCTGGCCAATGTTGCGAGAGTTCTCACCAACACACCTTTTAGCGGTATCGGCATCGCGCAGCTCACTAAGCCGATCAAAGACGGCAAGACCTTCCAACCGGGATGATCACATATCGCGACTCTCGACATTTCGTCGTTCTTCGCGATCACTTGAACTACCAGTAGCACTGCTTCCAGACCTTTCACCTCTTGAGGCATGATTCCTTTCGGATGACACCTTTGTCTGTACACTGTGTCTTGACTGGGAGGTAGTTCCTGTCTTAGATTATAATAGTATCGGCTGAGAGAGCTGAAGAAGTGATCCCAGGAAATCGTTGCTGAACCAGAAGTCCCTGCATACAACAGACATGTTGGACATAATTCTGCTGCGAAAGTAAGGTGAACATAAATACGACCTGTTCGCACACAGTTACACTTACCATTAGGTTTAAAAAAGTTAAACGCATGTCTGGCTGCTTGTGGTGATGATGCAAGAGACGCTATCATTTTCATGTAGGGAACGAACAAGCCTGGCGGCAAGATCTCCCGTACGTAAGCGAGCCGTACAAATTTGAAGAGGGCGACCTGTCTGGAAGGCAGGCGAATGATGTACGCCGGAGCTGTCACGTGAGTAGTATCGGTGTGATGGCACCAATAGTCCATGGCTAGATTCAAGTTCAGTGGATCTTTCCTGTATAGTTCCGCCACCATTAACATCAAATACTCGAAATGATTGTCCAGATTCATGGGGGGTTCGATGCCCTCCTGCTGGAACGCTTGTATCAGGCGCATGGATTCATCGGCGCGACTACGTAGTTCTTTGACTTTCATCGGCATCAGTAGAATAAAGTCTGAGATGAGGGTGTGAAAATAACGAACGTAGAATTCTTCCTGATGTATACAGCTACTTTTGAACAGGACTTCAGCCATGAAGTGGAAAGCCTTGTTGGACATGGCTGCTTCGATTAATATCTCGTCCTCCGTCGTGATGTTCTGCGATTGGAATTGAGTGCTGGTCGTTTTAAGCGTGTTTATAGCTATCGCCAAAGCGAATTGTATTATTCCGCGCAATCCGGCACTTTCCCAATTTATGCTTGCAGACGTCAATTTTTTATTCACTTCCTCTAGTATTCCCCTCTCCGCTATCAGCGGTATCGAGTTGATTAATTCTGCAAGAGATATTGGAGTGATAATTGCTAAAAAAAAGAAATGCATATACATCAAAACGCTGTGAAATGAAATATTGCGCGATATACCTTCGCCATTTTCACGACTATGCAAGAAATTGAAGTTTATAGCATATAAAGCAGCCATAATGAGAGCAAGTGTAACCGTATCGGGTCCTCCTTCACCTGCTTCAGATTCTACTTGACGTATTTGCAACATCGATAACAGACGGAACAGAATTGTATTCGATAATGACGATTGAGCAGACCATAAGAACAAAATGTCGGCCAGATCCTGTCGTGTGTCATTGTAAAGTTTCATGACCATTTGATGATGTTTTGCCCCACCCAATGCTCTATTTTGCTGCAGCAAATCTTGTTCCTATTTGAAATTATTTTTGAAAAAATTAAAATATAAAATTTAATAAATCAATTAAAATATTATAAAATTTAATAAATCAAGTATATAAGATAAGCTATAGAAAATGTAGACTGTATATTTTATTAAAATATAATCTGTTTTACAATCCTTTATAAGAAATATTGATATATCACCTATTTCTTTCTTAAATATTACCTTAGTAGGATCCATTTCTTCTAACAAGGATAAGATCCTGTTCAACAGGCCATCTTCTTGCAACTTGTTTGTATATTCTGTAATATGTCTTATAAGAGCAATTGGTACATCTACTGCCCAACTATGGCCAATGCGAGTGTGTACCAATATCCTTAATACTGAAGTTAGTGCTTTTCTTCCATCATAATATAGTAAAATAGCTGTTAGACCACGTGTTAATCCAGGATAATGTGGCATTTGAAGTTGAGCCGTACAGAGAAGATCCAATGCCATGAACTCATTCAAATCATACATATCTGATATGATGAGAGTTTCATCTACCAATTCCTTTGATAATACTTGATGACCCAAGCCAGGTAGTGTTATACCTTCAGTAACACCTTTCTTAATTTCCTCGCGACTTTTTATCTTTTTTGGCTAAAAACAATATCAATATGGTACTCACCATATATATGTACATTAAACAAATATAATTTTTTGGAATTATCTTCTATTTTAAAATTATACCGTCACTTATAATCAAAAAGATAATGCTATTTACAAAATATGCAAAAATTATATACTTACAGGATTCTTCAAGATGGCAAGAAAATTCTGTCTATGATTTCGCAAAGCTTCTGTAAGTTCATGATATTGTGGATCTTGTGTATCAGGAACTGATATTATGTACTTGTCAACAAGACTTTGTAGTTCTTTATATGGGGTCCACATATCTTCTGTCGTTACCTTGTCTATATCAAAAAATGTTATATCTTCAGACTCTCAATCATCTCCATATATAAATACAGATATATTATAGATAAATATATTAAGATATAAATATAAAAAATTTTTTAAATAATTTTTACATATGTAATAAAATGTATGTAATATACGTATATATGTAAAATTTCAATGTATTTTATTTGACTATTACAAGCTATTATAAAAAACATGTATCTTAATAGAAAATATAGCTCCAAAATGCATATGAAATAGTACACTTTCAAATAATGAGAGAGATTGATTATCATTACGATGTTTTGAACGGGAATTCCGTCAAATTTATTTTTAATGTTATTATAAACGGCCATTGTAAGATTTTGAAGGTTAAATTGATCGCGTGATACTAGTGTAAAACTTATTGTAAACTTGAATATTGATTACCTTCTGACATGTTTGCACGATACGCACGACGTAACACTAATATAAATTAAAATAAACTAAATTAAACTGTAATTTTTTAAAATTCAATATAGTCATGCGAGTCCCGCAAAACATAACAGAAATACCGGCTTGCATCGGTTCCTTGGCGGGAACAATTCATGGAAATGAAGAACTACGGCATGGAATAGTAACATTGAAGATAAGCGTGTTGTTCTTTAATTGACATTACAATGAAAACAGCGTTTAAATTGTACATTCAATGCGAATGCGAATATCTGCATTTTATAAATAATTTTATTCGTGCATACTCCTGAAAATATTTCTATTTTTATGAAATTCTAAATTTATCCCCATCTTTAATTTTTACAATCTACCACCTAGCTATATGTGTTTATCGATGACTAAATATTATGGTTAGTTATCATTTTTAAATAGTTAGATTTTGTTTTGATAGTTAATTCGAATGTAACTTATATTTCGAACAAGATATATTGGCCGCATTCAGCAGAAATAGCTGCTTATCAGAAAGAAACCTGAAAGCGGCCAACACGGCATTTTCTACGACACCGACTTTCCGCACTGGGAAAGGCCGCCATCTGCATCCATTTTGAGAGAGGAACTACGATGGTACATTCACTTTCAGGTCTCGGTGGTAAAATCTGCATGTGGTGGAAGTCCGTGCTACATCCACTTTCAGGCGGTTTATGTCCGTGCTGCAACCACGAGTTGCCATCTCTATGTCAAACTATGCCCGGTAGTCTAAAAAGAGCGGGGGGGGGGAGGGGGGAGAAGCAGGAAAAATAAAAGTACGTATTAAATATTAAATCTTTGAATACATGTTGCCGTATCAAAGTCTCCTGTATAATAAACAATTTGACATGTTTGGAGACGCATGATGTATCGCTGCCCGCGTCCCGTTCCCTTCGTCCTGCTTCTCAATTCAGCATCCCGTCCGCTCTGGACATTTGCTCGTGGCACTGACAGTGGCCGTCGCTGTCTGGTGAACATTCGATCCGCTCGGAAGAGCACGTGTTAATTAACGCGACGAGACGCCGATTATAAATATCCCGCGAGTCGACGAAATATTTGAACTTTTAAAAAAAGCATCAAAGAAAATCACGTTGTCATGGGTGAGATCTCACCCTGGTATATATTTTTTTTATTTTCGAAATAAAAAAACCAAACGAATGCAATTAAATGTTATTATCATCATTGAATATTAGATGAAAAGTAGAAGAATTATTGTCCGCAGCGGATAATCTAACATTTAATAAGAACGAGACAAAATTCGCATGGGATGAAATTCCACTCTTTAACGCTACCATGACCTTTAATTATTTTCCGAAAACGGCGTCGCAACAACTTTGACACTTAGTTGCTAACACATTTTCCAATCGTACACATTCCTCTTTAATTAACATAAAGCTAACAAATGTCCGATGCTTCGACAGAGTAATTTTCTTTATTTTCAGTAATCAATAAATAGAGTGCATCAATGTCGCGTACAGTTGAAAGGCCTTCTCGCATTCCCCTCGTCGTTCCGGAACCTTCGACAAAAGAAGAGATACCCAAGGACAAGTCTCTCTTGTTTCAACCGCCGCCGAGGCCCGCAATGTTTACATCGCGCCGATTGTGTTGATCAGTTCGCGAGCGACGACACTTTTTGCCCTTCGTATTAATACTCGTGCGCCTCGTGTACTCGACCTTATTCCATCAGCAGCAGCCGTGCGCGACGCGCTCGTCATTTCCATTTCGTGAAAGACTCGTGAAAGAAATGTATCTCGTCGATCCTCGAGATACTCAATCGGCATCGCGTCGGCATCGCGTTGATTAACTGCACGGTCGAATCGCGAGTATTGGCATTACAAGCGTGAGCGAAGGACTCCGAAATCCGAAGGACTCCAGCAGCCGGGAAGCAGGACACCGGCAACGATACGTCACGTTTCCAGGTATGTGGAATTATTTATTATACGGGAGGTCTCCAATAACGAGAGCGGACGTTTGATGAATTTTCCGAGAATAAGAAGTCAGAATTTCGCGCTCGGCATTCACGATTTGTCATCATCCGACTAGTAATTATGACTTTATGAATCTGCAATTACTTTCGTCAATCTCTGTCTGTCTATCTATTTATTGCGTTGTTGTATACAAGATATATTGATGCGGACAGAAACGGTCCATGAACGCGGATCATGTTCTCAATTAAACATTCTGAATAATTCTTAACTGTGTGAGTATACCGGTCTTGTGTAGAATATTCAACGTCATACCGCTCTTCTTAGACTACGACCTTTTTGTTTTCAGTCAGCGCTTCTTTCAAGTCTGTTTACTCTCGTTACGGGATCTAAATTTAAATGTCCATTCGTAAAAGAGTATTTTCGAGAGCACACAACCGTTGTCTCCGCTTCTTGTTGTCACTTTTTTTCATCAGCTCTTTCAAGAGCTCCAAGTTCTATCTAGACTTTCAATGTCAATAAAGAAAAAAAACCGTAGCGAATCTTCTCCACTCATCCCGACCAAACATTCTTTCTCTATCGCAGCTTACCAACCAGAAACGCTAAATTTTTGTTCCAGATGTTGCGGGAAGCAAATCTGGCGGACGCGGATGCCGCACCGGAGGATCCGGTTCGGGCCAAGCAGAGTCGGTCGGAAGGTAAAGTTTACAAGTTTCCTACACATCTATGTTCAACCCTTTACGATTTTTGCCTTTGCAACTTGTTCCTCCTTTCTTGAAAGCTTCAAGTCTCATTTAAATTTTCAGTTGGAACAAAAATATAAAGATAAAAATTCCGTATCAAAATATTTCCGTATTTTCGATTCGTCCCGATCAAAGATATTTTCTCTCTCTACCGCAGGTTATTAACCGGGAAAATTATTTTTCTGTTTCAGTTGTTGCGGAAAGCAGCAGCAATCCGGCGGACGCGGATGCCGCACCGGAGGATCCGGTTCGGGCCAAGCAGAGTCTGTCGGAAGGTACAGTTTACAAGTTTTGCTACACATCTGTGTTCAACCCTTTACGATCTTTGCCTTTGCAACTTGTTCCTAATCAGCTCTCTTGAAAGCTTCAAGTCTCATTAAAATTTGCAATGTTGGAACCAAAATATAAAAATAAAAATTTTTTATCAAAATATTTTCGTATTTTCGATTCGTCCTGATCAAAGATATTCTCTCTCTGCCGCAGGTTATCAACCGGGAAAATTATTTTTCTGTTTCAGTTGTTGCGGAAAGCAACAGCAATCCGACGGATGCGGATGCCGCATCGGAGGATCCGATTCGGGCCAAGCAGAGCCGGCTTGAAGGTAAGTTTACAAATTTATTATAGTCCTCTGTTTGATCCTTGGCGATCTAGCTGGAATATTATTTTCGGCTCGACTTGAATTACGATCACAGAGGGTAAACTACTCTTTTACTCGCCCGCACTTGTTGGTCAAATCTGATGAGCGAATGTGAATTTTTTGTTACAGAGTTGAAGCGGAACGTGGCCGACTCTGACTGCAAGTCGTTTCGGTGAGTCGAAATGAAAAGAGAAACAATATTCCGCATGACGGATGTGGGACTAATAAATATCGTTCGAGTCAATGCAAATTGCAAATAGATTCTTGCATGTGTGTGTTTGTGACGTTTGATAAAATACATTGCTCGAAACAATTAGGGGATTATTTGATCGATAGCCTTTATTATATACGAGATTTAAGATACCGAATGATTTTCTTTTGATATTCATTTGAATAAGAGATATTCGTGTCTACAAACGCGATACCGTCATCAGTTGCTTTATTTTCATTTTTCAAGCGGGCCGCAGAATTATTTAACGACAATTATTTGACAATATTTAATTGTCCGCGTAAAATATATTCATACGCATAAATGCCGATACCCGTTGGCTACTTTTCTTTTATTTCCTTAAAACAGGCTGTAAAATTATTTGGCAATATTCATTACGATCCCTATTGTCTTGAGTAGCGTATAATACGCCAGAAATTGCGCAGAAATTGCGCCAGCGCACGCCGAGCTTGAGGTATCCTCGCTCGCGTGCCTTTGAATATCGCGACCGCGGTTATCAATATTACGCGTTTTTACCCGCGCTGCTAACAAAGAAAGCTTAAATTCTCATTTCGCCAAAGTATCGCGAACGTAAGCTTCGTCGTGACGGAACTATCATGCGTGAAAATTTTGCTCCGCTCTCTCTCTCTCTCTCTTTGTGCTCCCTCGGAGCGACCGGTTTCTAATTGTCTAATCTTCGCATGCATTCGCGAATATTCTCGTAAATATCGATACTCCCGCATTTTCGCGACTTTTCAGGCGCGATCGCGAAAACGCCGTAAAAATCCGTTGGACGAATCGATAAATTTTCACACGGTTCTTGCTCCTCGCCGATCGAGTTTACAGAGTTTGTTTCGCAGCGCGTAAAAAGTTTCCACCGATGTCGACGTAAGACGTTCGTTAATTGACGCAAATATCGCCGTTCTAATACCGCGTATCGACGGCCTCGCGGAAGTGTGGCGAAAGTGTAGCAATCAACGTGGGACGCCACTGCAAGATGAATGCTGCACAACATGGAGAGCGGCAGCACGAACATGGACGGACATTGGTGGATCTAGTTGGGTGCAACGGGACATCATCAATATCGGATCATCATCATCGGTGAGCGTTTGACTCAATGCTCGCAGAGAGCTTTTTTATTATTACATTGTGCATGCCGCAAATTTGCATTGACTTTGGTAACGAAAAATATATTCCGTGAATTATTGCCATATATTATGGCCATATATTATTGCCATATATTGTTGCCATATATTGTTGCCATATATTGTTGACGTATATTATTGCCATATATTATTGCCACATATTGCCCATGTATTATCGCCATATATTATGGTGGCCACTTCCGATACGTATATACATATTTTGAAACATTTTCTGTGGATATTATATCAAACGGATATTATATAAACGGATTTTGCGTGTCACGTAATATCTGACTACACGGACATTATTGTTTTGATCATTTTGATTCCTTTGATATTCATTAAGAATTATCCAGAACGCAATTGCCATGTTAAACGATTCAATTGTCGTGTGAAATGTTTCGATTTTCATAAATTCGTATAAAATTTTTCATTTTTCACTAATTGACAGAAGTTTTTCACTTTT